GGAGGCAGCGGGAGGGCGGGCGGCTGAGTGGGCCCGGAGCTGCAGGGCCGGAGCGGCGGTGCCGCCATGTCCGACACCGAGAAGCTCAACCTGGACTCTATTATCGGACGCCTGCTAGAAGGTGGGCCGGGGTCGGGCAGGGCCGCGTCCTGGCCCCCTGCCCAGCCCGGAAGTGGCGCGCGGGCGGGCTTGCCCCTCCCGGGTCCAGCATAGCCTGGGCGGGGACGGCCCCGAGCTCCCGGCGCACCGCCGCTCCCCGACTCGCGGGCGCCCCTGGGCGGGGGGCGGGGGCGTCCAGGGCTCGGTCCGGCTCGCGGAGCAGCCAGCCCCCTCGCGAGGGCTGGGGTTCCCGAGTCCGGGAGGGACCTGAGATGCCTAGTCCGGGGAGGGGTCCTGCGCTCAGGTGTTGGTTTCGGGCCCGGCCCACAGCAACGTCCTGTAGGGGGCCCCGCGGGTAATGGGGTCCTGTCGTGGGGAGCGTGAGGCGGAGGTCCCGAGAGACGCCGCAAACAGCCGTCCCTGGGCGAGGAGGGCTTCTTGGGGCCGCGCGTGTCGCCCGCCCGCCCGCGGGGCTGGGGTCCTGACGCCCGCTTCTCCCCCAGTGCAAGGCTCGCGGCCTGGGAAGAATGTCCAGCTGACCGAGAACGAGATCCGTGGTCTGTGCCTCAAGTCCCGTGAGATCTTCCTGAGCCAGCCCATTCTTCTGGAACTGGAGGCACCCCTCAAGATATGTGGTGAGCCCCCTGAAAGTGGCATTGGACCAGGGGTTCCTGGGTGCCTCCTCCATGAAGCCCATCCCTGGCCTGGGTTTCCACTGAGGCTCTACACCTGGCGCTGACCTGATCCCTGGGTCCCAGGTGACATCCACGGCCAGTACTACGACCTTCTGCGGCTGTTTGAGTACGGCGGCTTCCCCCCAGAGAGCAACTACCTCTTCCTGGGAGACTACGTGGACCGGGGCAAGCAGTCTCTGGAGACCATCTGCCTGTTGCTGGCCTACAAGATCAAGTACCCCGAGAACTTCTTCCTGCTCCGTGGGAACCACGAGTGTGCCAGCATCAACCGCATCTACGGCTTCTATGATGAGTGTGAGTGGTCTGTGGTCCACCCAGTCCCGAGTGCCTTCCTCTCTCTTCAGTGGGACCCTCACTGGCCTGGCATTAGCCGTATGGGTGTCATGACAGGGTCCCCCGCTAGACTGAGCTCCATTAAGGCACGGCCTATTTCAAGCACACTTGTTGGGCCTGATCTCCCTGATGGGACACACTCAGGAGGGGTTTGGGGAATGTTGCTGGTGGTTTGTGTTCTTAACGCGTTTCCCTGAGGCCCTGTCTGGACTCCGTTGGCCAGACACTGATCTGACCACATCAGGTCTCACCTGGCCCTGCCTCACTCCAGGGTTGCTGTGGCCTGTCCTGCTTTAGCAGTCCATCCTGGAAGGGTGGTAGGCAGCGCAGTGTGGGGTTGGCGCGTGAACCACCTCCCTTGCCTTTCGCTTTGTTCTCCCGGCTGGGTCTGGATGCTCACACGGTACCAAGAGAGGGTGAGAGACCCAGGCTGGGAGGGGGGCGGCGGCGGCAGGCAGCCGTGTCAGATTTGGCCCCTTGGTCTAAGCAGGCAAGAGACGCTATAACATCAAACTGTGGAAGACCTTCACCGATTGCTTCAATTGTCTGCCCATCGCGGCCATCGTGGATGAGAAGATCTTCTGCTGCCACGGAGGTGAGGGCCTGGGCACCCGCTGAGCACCCGCTTCTGTCTGGCGTGTGGCCACTGAGGGAAGGAAGCCGGAGAAGGCCGAGCCAGCCAGCCACCGCAAAGGGGCTGTGGAATGGAGCTCAGTTTGTTGGAGGGCGAGTTTCCTGTGGCCTGGAATAGTAGCTTGGGTCACATCTTAGCTGTCACTTCTTCCAGGAAGTCTCCTCACCCCTAGTGTTGAGCTGCATTTTTCCCGTGCTGGCCTCTGCTTATCTGTTTTCTTCAGAGCTGTGGCACCCCTTCGGGGCAGAGACCAGGAAACACCAAGGGGAAGATGAGGCCTGGCTGGGCCCGGGAGTCCAGGGGAGGGAGCTGGTTGTGGTAGGTGGGGTGAGGCTGCCTGGGATGGGCTTGCTCAAGGCACCTACCGGCCTGCATCTCCCAGGCCTGTCCCCGGACCTGCAGTCCATGGAACAGATCCGACGTATCATGCGGCCCACAGATGTGCCTGACCAGGGCCTGCTGTGTGACCTGCTGTGGTCCGACCCCGACAAGGACGTGCAGGGTTGGGGCGAGAACGACCGAGGCGTCTCGTTTACCTTCGGGGCTGAGGTGGTAGCCAAGTTCCTGCACAAGCATGACTTGGACCTCATCTGCCGGGCGCATCAGGTGGGCACGTGGCAGCGCCGGGTCTGCAGGGGGCGGGGCGGGGCTGGCGGTTCAGGCCCGGCTCACGCTTCCTGTCCTTGCCCAGGTGGTGGAAGATGGCTACGAGTTCTTTGCCAAGCGGCAGCTGGTGACACTCTTCTCAGCTCCCAACTACTGCGGCGAGTTTGACAACGCCGGTGCCATGATGAGTGTGGACGAGACTCTTATGTGCTCCTTCCAGGTTGGTGCGGGGGAAGGGAGCAGCAGGGGTAATGGCCCCTCACATGCTGCTTCCAGGGTGGGTGGGCAGCAACGGGTCCCCAGCCCCATGACTCTTAGTCCTGTCTCCCATAGATTCTGAAGCCCGCCGACAAGAACAAGGGGAAGTACGGGCAGTTCAGTGGCCTGAACCCTGGAGGCAGGCCCGTCACCCCACCCCGCAATTCCGCCAAAGCCAAGAAATAGCCCCCCTGTGCCCGCCCCTCTGCCCCAGTTGTTGCATCGACTGTACAGAAGCCACGCTGCCATGGGGGGCAGGCCGGCCTCTCAAGCCCACATCACAGGGACACGGAGCTATGGTCTGTTTTCCTTTTTTTAATGAATCAATAGCAGTCCAGTTCCCAGGGTTCCTTCCTGCCTGCGCCCGTGGGGGCTACAGCTGGATCCTGGGGCTGGGCTGCAGCTCAGGGTAAAGGCAGGCCAGGTCGTGGGTCTCCAGCCGTGCTGGGCCTCAAGGCTGGCAGCCGGATCCTGGGGCAACCCATCTGGTCTCTTGAATAAAGATCAAAGCTGGATTCTTGCCACGGCCTCTGTCTCCCTTGTCCCAACATTAGGCCTGGCAGCCCTAATGCCTAGAGCCACCGGGAAGGAAAGCCTTGCTGGGCACCAGGCCCTGGCCACACACGCAGACCATGGAGGTGTTTTGAATTCCAAGCCAGGGCCTGAGAGTTGGGAAAGCGAGGCGTGGAGATCACAGGGGCTGCCACAGTGAGTCCAGGCTGAGAGCGGGACAGTCATGATGGGGGGGGGGGGGCGTGGGCTTGTCCCAGGGCCAGAAGCCCCATGGGGACTCTTGTGGAGGTGGGGCTGAAGAGGTTGCCTCCAGCCTCTGCCAGACAGGGAAGATGAACTGAGGCTCCAGGACCTCCAGTCAGGTAGCAGGCAGCTCAGAGCCAGGCCTGGGAGCAGACATGATTGGCTAGGGTTGGGGGAGAAGGCAGGACCTGACCCAGGCCGGTCACTGTCAGTAGTAGACAGTAACCCCACCTGGGCCAGGCCTCTGTCTCAGTAGCCCTCCAGGTGGCCCAGCCAGCTGGGGACCGGCCTGGCAGTGGGCTGGGCTGGAGGAGCGGGAGGCCACGCTTCATCCCGTTGACGCATCCCCTGCTCAGCCCTCGCCTTCGCTGTCCTCGGCCAGCACAGGGCTGGGGCCCTGAGGGGAGTGTGCGGGGGCCAGGATGGAGCCGAAGAACAGGGAGCGGAACTGGAAGAACAGGGGAGCCTCAGTGAGCTGTGGAAGCTGTCCCCTCCCCTCCTCCCACCCGGCTCCTACCTTCTTCGGTGGGGGGGTCCCGGGCACTGTGCTGGGCTCAGCCTCGTCCTCCTCCGAGTTTGGGCCAGGGCTGCAAGAGGGCTGGGGGCCCGGAGAGAGGAGGGGCGGTGCCCGAGAGCCCTCACTGCCCACGGTGGTTTCCATGGCAATCATGTAAGAATCGATGTCATCGTTGGTGAAGTCGTCCAGGTGGGGTGTACTGCAGGCAGAGCTGGGGAGTCACCAAGGAGCCGGGAGTGGAGAGGAGCTAGGCATCAGGGCCCCGCCTTGAGGCTCTGAGGGGAGGGGGCTACTGCCCGCCCCTGGGTTCTGGTAATTGCTGGTTTTATGACTTCCTGATACGTTTGGAGGAGAGAGGAAGCTTGGGTTCGTGGTGGCTTCCTGGAAAGAGTGGGCCTGGAATCTTTGATCAGAGTTCAGGTAGGGGCCTGGGAAGAGGAGTCTGGGGCCAGTCTGGCCCAGCTGGGGGAGGGGAGCAGCAAGCCCTGTGAGCTGGGCCACCCGGGGCCCAGGCCCCGCTCTTCCCAGGGGACAGAGCTGGAGCACGCTGGGGCCCAGGGATACGCTGGGCGAGGGGCCAGGCCAGACTTCCTGCTTCTGCTGCACTGGGCCCGGCCTCCCAGCCCACCTGCCTCCCCACCCTAGGCGGGTGGCGCCCTGCCTCCCAGCAGCCAGCTCTCTCCTCCGGCCTGGGAGGAGGTTCAGGGGAGGCCTCAGCCAGAGAAGGAAGCGGCTGAGCCTTGGGGACCTTCCCTGGGTGGGAGGGGTCTCCCAGCACAGCTGACCATGACGTGTCTGTAGAGCTGGAAGCTGTGAGGCCTTGGGGCCTGACGGGAAGTATGTGTGCGGCGGGGGAGGGGACGGCTGCGATGGGCTCAGCCAGGGTGCACCGGTGCGGAGGAGAGGGAGGCGAGGGTGGTGGTGCCCTCACCTGTGAGCCTGGAGCGGAGGCTGTGGCCGGCAGGGCTGCAGGGAGCCCAGGTCCTGGGACTGCGGGTCTGGCTCTGACAGCGTGGCTAAGACAAAGTGGCCATCCAGCAGCGTGTCCTCAACGGTGAAGATGGCTGGTCTGGGCAGGGGACCGGCCCGAGGGTGCTCAGAGCCCCTAGGCCCCGGCGTCCCCGAGGCCTCCCCTCCCGGGTCCCAGGTGGGAATTACCTGCCTGGAGTGTCGAAGTGCATGCTGAGGGACAGATTGGCTGACTCGGCGAAGCTCAGGAGCCCCTGCAGGAAACAAGGTCAGCCCCGCACTGCGCATGGCACTGGGGACGGCACGGGCCCAGGACACCTACCCGGAATTCCTTGAGGCAGAAAGTGATGGCCACCCCTTCCTGGGCCTGCAGCTGCTGGAAGTCTTCCTTCCCAATGCTCATCTCTGTCACCATGGCTCTGATGTCGCTATCTGTGGGGCAAGAACAGGAGGAATTTTGGCCTGGGCCCCGGCCCCTGCCCTTGCCTACGCCATCCCCGTCTGTGTCCATCCCCGGCCAGCTCCCTCACCTGCCTCCTCCTCTTGGTAGCTTCGCAGGATGACCCTGTGGCCTCGACCAACGCCCAGTGTCACTTCGGCCAGCGCAGGGGGAAAGGGCAAAACAGCCTCCCCCAGGACCCTGTGGGGGGGGGGGGCAGCATTATACCCAGGTCAGGCCAGCCCCACCTGGTGGCCTGGCTCTCAGGGTACTGGAGGTAGGGCAGACACACGCACAGTCACTACGTGCACACACACCAGCATCTAAGGGAACTATGCCTGGGCCAGGGTGGATGCCCCAGCAAGGAGAGGGCAGGATGAGCAGGACTGGTCCCTCCCTGTCACAACACCAAAACCACTACAAGAAGACAAGAGAGGGACACACAAGGACCCAAACAGGTGGGCAGCAGCTGGCATGAAGGGGTGGGAGAAGGTTCTCCTTAGGAAGAAGGGAAGAATGGGGCCCAGTGGAGGGGCGCTACACCCACGCCGTCCCTACCAACAGGCCTTCAGAGACGGCCCTAACTGCCTCTCTTGGGGAACACATGTTGATAAACATTTACAGATGAAACAACATCTAGAATCTGTCTCAGCAGGACAGGAGCTGGGGGTGACGGTCCAAAGAACCAGTTTACCACACTCTACTTGTGTGTATGTGTGTGTCTGAAACTGTCCTTAAGATAAACAATGGTTTTCAGAAAGCAGAGGTTTCAATTTTGCCACAAACCTCGGACCAGAAGGGATAGCCCTCCCCATGCTCTGTCCAGAGGACTCCTGAGCAGGGCTTTCTCCACAGAACTTGGGGAAAGATACTCAGGACCCAAAGGGACATCGACATGTCCCAAGGCTGAGAAATGATGGGGCCTTGGCCTCTTGGATGCAAGCAGTGCCCAGGGGTCACTCCTGAGCTGGCCCTGAACAGGCCCCCTGCCTTCCCTGGAGTCCTCCCCCAGTCCTCGGTGCCTGACTGCTCAGAACGCTGCACCCTCCTGGACAACTTCCCGTCTGACCTCCTGCCTGGGCCTGGGGACTCCACGAGGCCAGTGCTGGGCAGGCAGCAGTCAGAGCACACCCTTGAGTAGGGAGTACTTCCGAAGGATGACCGGGCCCTAAAAGGGACTGAAACCCTGAGCTGCCGAGTTTAGGGATGGCCCTTCAGGCTGCTTAGGCCAAAGAAAGTGCTCCCTAGAAGAGAATTCGGACTAGGCCTGAGGGGCCCAGACAGCGAAGCCAGCTCTGAGGCGTGGAGAATACAGGGCTGCAGAGACTGTGAGGAAACGGAAGAAGGGACCCCCATGCACCTTTCCGCTCAGCCTCGGCCTCTGAAGAGCCAGATAAGGGCCCAAGAGCAACCAGGGCTGGGGGCCACAGACCCTGTAGGGAAATGGAGAAGTGCCTTTAAGAGCAAAGGGGCCAGACAGAGGGTTCTGCTTGAGGCAAGGGGCGTACTCACCTGGCCGGGGCTCGGAGTACATGGGGGCATGACGCTGGGTCGAAGACAGCCTGCAGGGACTCGCAGTCCTGGAAGGACAGGTTGTGAATCTTCCTCACTCCTGTGCGGGCAGATGGGGTCTCAGAGGGCCTCTCGAACTGCCCCGACGCCCTGCGGGGCGCCCGCTCGCGGCTGCCCACTTACCGTACTTGCAGTGCAGCTGGACCACCAGGCGGCTGCTCCTGCCGTTCAGGGAGATGCAGCACTTCTCCACCGTCCTCTCCAGCGTCACCAAGGAGCGGAAGACCGACAGGAAGGACTGAGTGGGAAGCAAGCCAGCGCTGTACCTCCTGTCCACCGGCTTCTGTGCCCCAGCCCAGCCCATCATCCAGGACGCGGACCACCAGGTGCCTTGGTTCCTGCTGCCCGCCCTGTCTGCAACGGCCCTACCCTCCCTCCAGCTCCCTGGTAGTCACCCACTGCTCCACACAGCCCGCTACCCTTGGCGGAGGTCTTTACTGAGCCCCTCTGTCTCCCATTAGCATCTACTGAGTGCCCGGAGCGGAGGCCCTGCAGGGGGAGGGTCCTGAGGAGAGGAGCGCTCACCTTCATCAGGATCTTGCAGCGGACGGGGTCCTGGTTAGGGGGGGCCACCTGGTACTGCTGGAAGAAGAGCGGGGCGAACAGGAAGCAGGCGTAGGCCGAGCGGGAGGAGTTCACGGTCCGGAGGGAGAGCTGGGCGGGGTGAAGCCCGGGAAGAGACGGGGGGCATGGTCAGGGCAGCGACAGCCTGGCCCCTGCTTCTGCCCACGCAACTGTTTTGTCGTCCCCCACCTCCCCACACACCAAACCAACCAAACCCACTGACGTGGAGTCCATGTGGCCTCACAGTGACCCCACGTGTGTCAGCAGAACTGTGCCAGGGGTATTCCTGCCTGTGAGCTCTACAGAAGGTGATTCCAGGTCTTTCTCCCTCAGCGCCACTGGGTGGGTCTACACCTCCAGCCTTTAGGTTGGTCCAGAGCAATCCGTTTGTGCCACCCAGGCCCTTTCACCTCCACCATCACCTGTCAGATCCTCCATCTTCAAGGACGGTCCCAGCCAGTCCCCCCTTGAGAAGCCTTCCCTGACTCGGTCTCAACCCTGCTCCGACTGCCAAGCGTAGTGCCCTTCACGGCCGTCCCCACACTCTGCCTTTTCCCCCGCGTATCTCTAAGGCTAAGCCACCCCCAGTCCGCCAGCCGGCATCCCAGGGAGGGCAGCCGCTCTCGGCTCCCACCCCAGAAGGCTGATAGGGCCCAAGCTGAGTGCCAGCAACACGGCCGAAATCGAAACAGCCGAGCGCGGCCATCATGCTCGGGGAGGCAGCCCCAGCCCCTCACCCCATCGTGCAGGAGTTCCAGGTAGAGCTCGTCCCCGATGCGGGACAGGGAGTGGACGGCCTTGCCGAGCACTGCGGGAGAAGCGGAGAGAAGGGTTAGGCAGGAGCCTCGGTCTGTCCCACGTGTCCCCGCCTCCCGGACTCACCCTTCACGTTGCCGCCCGTCACCAGACACCTCATGCTGCCCCAGCACTGCACCGGGCTGAACCTGCACGCCGGCCCGCGAACGCCTCCCCTACTGGCACGGTTCGGGAATCCGGCCCTCCGCGGAGTGCCGGCGCCCTTCCCGCTGCCGCGCCGCCGGCCCCGCCCCCGCCCCCTCATTGGTCTGCGCGCGCGCGCGCCTCCGTCACGTGACAACGCCCCGGGCCCTGCCGTCACGTGACGCAGCGCGCTCCCGGGCGCTGGCCCAGGTCACGTGGCTGGGAGTGCTGCGGTCTCTCCTGGTCGCCCTCGGGCCGCTCTCGGCCCCTCCGTTCCGCGGGGCGCACCGGACGCGATGAGCGCGGGGACGACGCTCCAGGGCGGGAGGTGCCTGGCGTGAGGGGCGAGCCCTGGGCTCGGAGGCCGGAGCCTGGGGGCGAGCCAGCTGGGACCCTAATTTTCTTCGCGGTTGCTGGGGGTCGGGGGCATACGGGGTGGGAGCCGGGCCGTCCGCGAGCAGTCTGGACTGGGGCCTCGGACACACATAGCTAGCAACTACCGCCAGCTCTCAAAAAAGGTTAAAGCACGCGCTGCAGGGGCCAGGGGTGGGCAGTGGCTGCTCAGTCTAGCTTCGGAGGGAGGGTCGTTGATCCTTGAAGAACGAAGATTCTCCGGGCGGAGAAGGGGCGGAAGGGGGAAGGGCAAGAGTGGAGCGTGTGGGGCTTGGCACCGGGGAGGGGGAAGGGGCACAGCCAGACGATGAGGGCACTGTGCGAAATTCTGGTTTTAAGGGTTTTCAAAGACCTGTCGTGTGTGAAGAGGGGATGTTCATCCACTGGAGGTCCCCACCAGTGTGAAGTGGAAGGGGGGCCAGGGAGGGAGCCCTGACCTCTAGTTCCCTGTGGCACCGAGGAGTGCCAGTTCTGGGAAGGGCCCTCCGCTTCCCTGTAGGGTCGCCCTTCGCATGCCCCTCACCTGTGTGCAGGGAGGAGGCTCTGGGTCTCCTGCCTCTGCATCTCTGCACCCCACTCTCCTTGCTCTCAGCTCTCCAGCCTCACCAGCTCTCACCCCTGCCCTAGAGCAATAGGGGAGGAGGTTCTAATTCCCTTTCTCCTTCCAGGGGATCAGTGCCAATGGCCCCACCTCCACCCAGGCATGCAGGCCAGTAAACTGGGAGTAACCCCGGACACCACCCTGTCTCTCATCCTAGACATCCAACCCTTCAGCAAGTCTTGACAGCCCTACCCCCTCCTTGTGACCCCACTTCTACCACCCTGGCTGGGGCCACCATCCTCTCTCCCTGGAGGACCGTCTTCTGTCTCCACCCTGTCTCCTCCAACCCACTCTCCAGATGACAGCACAAGTGACCTTCCTAAAATGTCAATTGCATCACACCACTCCCTGCTTAAATCTGCAGTGGTTGCCAACTACTGTACTTAGTATTAGATCCAGACTTCTTATCCTGAACCTGCAGGAGCCAGCCCTCGCCATCGCTCCGCCTGTCCCCTGCCTTCCTCCCCTGGGTCACGGGGCGTTGCCACGCTGGCCCTGCTGGTTCCCTGAACCGCCCACCACCTTTTCCCCTCAGGATCTTTGCATTTGTTCCCACCACTTGGGATGTTCTCCCCGAAGCCTCACAGCCTGGCCCTTCTCTGCTTAGGCCTCTGCTCAGCTGCCCCTCCTCAAGGTTTCCCTGGCTGCCCTCTCACTCAGCCCTTGCTTGTTTTGTTCACAGTGCTTAGGGCAAGCGGAGGACATTTGTACACGTGTTTACTCATTTAAGGAGCTCTGGTGGCGCTGTGCTTAAGGCATTGCCCAGCCTTCCTTCCGAGGAGTGGCTGCTGGGTTTGAACCGCCAGCCTTCTGGTTAGCAGTCAAGTGCCTTAGGCACTACGCCACCAGAGCTCCCAACTAAAACATAGGTGTAGTTCGAACCCACCAGCCGCTCCACAGGAGGAAGATGAGGCAATCTACTTCTGTAAAGATTTACAGCCTTGGAAGCCCAATGAGGGTTCCTATCAGTCAGAATGAATTTGATGGCAGTGGGTTGCTGTGGGTTTGTTTACTTATTTAACGTCTGTCTCCCCCACTAGCACAGGGGCTGCAAGGGCAGGGACCTTGTCGGTTTTGTTCGTTGTTGCACCCTGTCCCTCATACAGGGCTTCAGTGGGTGATCCGGAAATCGGTGTCAATGTGCAGTCCCGACCCCCGGAGCTGCGGCTCTTAGCAGTGCTGGGGTGGAGGAAGGCTCACTTGACCCTCTGCCCAGTTCCTCTCTTGCCTGTGTAAGACCTGTCCCCACTCTCTCTCATCGACGAAACAAGACAGCAATCGCAGCACCAGCTAGCCTCCTCCTTAGCCGCTGCCCCCACCGCCAGCGTAAGTCAGCGTGGCCTTCCCCCTGCTGCTCCGCTGCCGCCTGGAACGGGAGGCCGAGCCCAGTGCTCTGGTCTGGAAGGCAGAGGGGAGAGCTGTGGGTATTCCCACACGCACGCTTCTTGCTCCACCTCCGTGTTTTTTTTTTTAATTTTAATTGTGATTTGCATGAAAGTTTACAGAGCAAATTCACTTTCCATACAGCAACTCACGTGCACTTTGCCTCATGACATTGACTCTAATTTCCCACAGTGCAACAGGTCCCCTCTCACTTCCCACAGTTAACCTCTTCCCTGTGTCCTTCCCTCCCATGCACTCCTGCCCCCTGAGCTGTCTCCCTGTGCACACACAGCCCTTCTTTCTCCCATGATTGATCTCTCCAAGGAGTGTATCTACCTAATGTAAATATTCCACTCATATGCCTGTCTTTTGTTTGGCTGGAAGCCACAGGAGTGGGTTCAATTCCAGACCTGAAGGGCAGCTAGAGCCATACTCTCAGGGGTTCCGTCAGGGTCTATCAATCAGCCAGCACACCCGGTCCCGTTTATTTTAATAATTTTGAGTTCTGTGCCCCGTTGCCACATGGGTCTTTTGCTCAAGGCCCGAGGGAGGGGGAGACATGAGCACTGTAGGACTTTTTAAAAATAAATTTTGTTGTTGAATGCAACAGTTCAGTAGTCTCCACATGTACAATTGGTGACGTTGGTCATGTTTCCTGTAGGGCCCTAATCGTTTCCAGTCACCCTGCCCCCAGTCGGGGATCTTCAGAACCTTCTCAAGGGCTGAGAAGCCAGTGGGAGCCCGGAGCTGGGTGTCAGGAGGCCTGGTCTCTGGCCTGTGGTCTGGTCCGGGCTTCAGCACTGACTTGCTATGTGACTTCGTGTAAGTCTGTCCTTGTCTCTGGGGCTATTTCCTCATCTGTATGGTGTGATTAAGGAGCCCTCATGGCATAATGGTTACGCATTCCACTGCTAACCGAAAGGTCAGAGTTCAAACCCACGAGCCATTCTGCAGAAGAAAGATGGAGCAGTCTACTGCCTAAAGATTCACAGCTTTGTTGTGGGGAATTGCAATCAATGTCATGAGACAAAATGTGTGTGAACTGCTGTATGGAAAATGAATTTGCTCCGTAAACTTTCACCCAGATCACAATAAAAAT